AAGTTATTTGATTCTTCCAAATAATAAATAGTGTTATATAAAGTAGAGTGGAGTGACTATCAGTTATGGTGAAAACCAAAAACAAAAAGAAAAATGAACATGGGAAAAAATGATCAGATAGAATTTTTTTTTTCTTCTTCGGTATATTTAATGTTTGAGGTAGAGTGAGCCCGTGAATGATAAGGAAGAAAAACGTTTAAAAGAAGAGAAAATAGTATAAGAGGGGAGAATCCTTTCATGAATTAAATTCTGCACTTGGTAGGTGTATAAAATGTTAGTATACTGTATTTGTAAAATAATTATGGAGAAAATAAAATAATATATAAACGAAACAGAAGTTAATCCGAGCCCACTGAATTCACAGTGTTTCCTTAAGGAATTTAATCCCCTCTTAGTACCCAAGGTTGTGGATTATTTCCTCCCAGGATAGAACGAATTACATACTGGTGTAGTGGTACTTCAAACCCCAGTGTTTCAGTGAACACAAAGTTCGGTAGCAAATCACAGTTACTGCTGCTTTCTTTGAAGTTAAAACAATGCAGAAGAAAGGAGGAGAACTCAGAAAATCGTATGGAAAATCTGAGAGAATGGACTTGTATTTATAGCCAATGTTGAGCTCAAAACTGAAGAGGTGTAACTCTTCAGAATGGCTGTTTATGTAAAACGGCCATAACATAAATGACATTATATAAATGACTATTTATGCAACAATAAACTGGGAATTGCAGACGGAGGTTAATTTTCATTTACAAAACCGAAAAAACTGAAAACGGATAACTGAAATAAAACGTTTAATATTTCCGTTGGATTTAATATTAATATTCCGTTGAATTTCTGTTAATATTTGCTATTAACAAATAAATTTGGTCCAAAAAATTAATCAATCAATCGATTGACCAAATCCGAATCCGATCCGAGCGAGCGACGACGACGACTGCGCGAGGCTTGCCTTCTTCTTATCTCTTTAAGAGCTACAAGAAGTGCAATTGTATATATACCCATCAAAAACCTTTTCCTCTTCCAATATGGGACAATGTCCTTTTCTTAAGGAGGGGATCTCAAATGAAACTCAAATATTTCATTTTTCCCTCCATTTCCCATTCACCCCTTTTTAAGCCTAATTTAGCTTAAAACCTCAATAATCCCTCACATGATTGGGGAATGGCTATATCACGAAAATATGCATGAAAAACTGTGTGATTCACAAGCAAGGATTAATTGCATCTGGATAAGTAGGTTTCCCTTTGAACTTTCCGTAGTGAACTTATGTCGGATATACTCGGTCAATCGGTAGATTTGATATCTTTGAATCGTCGAACTTTGGTGTATACCTAGACAACCATAAGTCACACAACCAACCCTGAACCGTCTTTGGTTGTCATTGTTGTGTTCGTTTCAACCATGAACACCGCCTGATTTCATAAGTGCGTAGAGAAATGTCCTTATAAAATTCTCCTTGAAGCGGCTAACACTTCACACTTACATAGGTGATTCCTAAACGTGTCATCCCCTAGATACATTATCTGATATACCCCGTATCAAATTTAGAAATCATTAAAAAGCCTTAATGTTTTATCCTTGGTACTTAACATTGTCTCATCACGAGAATTGACCAAAATTTTAGTTAACAATGTTGAACCGTCATTAATGACTTTGTTTGATCTCCTTGAACCTAGATCTTAGGATCTCCAGTCTTCTAGGTAGAGTTACCGCCACAATGACTTGTTCTCGGCCATAGTCCCACTCCCCTCGATGATCTCAACTACCTCTCTAGTGAGGCCTTTTGTAAGTGGATCCGACACATTATCGCTTGACTTTACATAGTCAATCGTGATAATTCCTCTAGAGAGTAATTGCCTAATGGTTTTATGTCTTCGTCGTATATGACGAGATTTACCGTTATACATAACGCTCTCGGATCTTCCAATTGCTAATGTCTTCCAAGAAATTCCGGAGCCATTCAACTTCTTCACCGGCTTTATCTAAGGCTATGAATTCAGCCTCCATTGTAGAGCGGGCAATACAAGTTTGTTTGGACGATTTCCAAAATACCGCCTCCACCAATAGTGAATACATATCCACTTGTGGACTTGGAATCAGTTGAACCGGTGATCCAATTTGCATCACAGTATCCCTCAATCACCGCAGGATATTACTGTAGTGCAAAGCAAAGCTCTGAGTATGTTCTAAATATCCCAAAACTTGTTTCATTGCTATCCAATGAGATTGACCCGAATTGCTCGTGTATCGACTCAATTTGCTTATAGCACAAGCTATATCTGGTCGTGTACAATTCATGATATACATTAAGCATCCCAACACACGAGCATAGTCTAATTGTGATATGTTTTGGCCTTTGTTCTTTGTTAATGCAAGATTCACGTCAATTGGAGTCTTTGCAACTTTAAACCGTAAGCGCTTGAATTTTTCTAGTACTGTCTTAATATAATGAGATTGTGACAATGCCAGACCGTGAGGAGTCTTATGGATCTTAATCCCCAGAATTAAATCAGCAACTCCCAAGTCCTTCATATCAAACTTGCTAGTTAGCATTCGCTTAGTAGCATTTATGTTGGCGATTTCATTACTCATTATCAGCATATCATCCACATATAAGCAAACAATGACTATGTGATTTGGAACATTTTTAATGTACACACATTTATCACATTCATTTATCTTAAAACCATTTGACAACTGTTTGGTCAATTTTTGCATGCCATTGTTTGGGTGCTTGTTTTAGTCCGTAAAGGGACTTAACAAGTCTACGTACTTTCTTTTCTTTACCTGGAACCACAAACTCTTCAGGTTGTTCCATGTAGATTTCTTCCTCCAAATCTCCATTCAAGAAGGCCGTCTTAACGTCCATTTGATGAATTTCAAGACCATACACTGCAGCTAATGCTACTAATATCCGTATGGACGTAATTCTAGTAACTGGAGAGTATGTATCAAAGTAGTTAAGACCTTCTCGTTGTCTATACCCTTTGACTATAAGTCTTGCCTTAAATTTATCAATAGTGCCATCATCTTTCATTTTCCTCTTAAAAATCCATTTTAGAACCCAAAGCCGAAGCCGAAGCGAAGCCGAGCCGAGCGAGCGACGACGGCAACGGCGCGAGCTTGCCTTCTTCTTAACTCTTTAAGAGCTACAAGAAGAGCAATTGTATATATACCCATCAAAAACCTTTTCCTCTTCCAATATGGGACAATGTCCCTTTGTCAAGGAGGGAATCTCAAGTATTTTATTTTTCCTCAATTTCCCATTCACCCTCTTTTAAGCCTAATTTAGCTTAAAACCTCAACATAAAATAGTGTTGCAGTCATTATATTAAACACTCTAATCCGAAGCCGAAGCCGAAACCGAAGCCGAGCCGAGCGACGACGACGACGATGACGGCGCGAGGCTTGCCTTCTTCTTAACTCTTTAAGAGCTACAAGAAGAGCAATTATATATATACCCGTTAAAAATCTTTTTCCTCTTCCAATATGGGACAATGTCCCTTTGTCAGAGAGGGAATCTCAAATGAGACTCAAATATTTTATTTTCCCTCCGTTTCACATTCACCCTCTTTTAAGCCTAATTTAGCTTAAAACCTTAACATAAAATAGTGTTGCAATTATTAGATTAAACACTCTAATTTTTTCATATGTCTAAATATAAATAATTATATTGTGTGAGTTAGTGCTTGTTGACCTAACTCACTGGTGGCTTTTACACATTACCTTTTCTTTCGAATTTAATTCATAAGCTGGTGTTGATTGATAGCTTGCTTATTCTCTCTACCAAGCAAATGGTAAGAGCTGAATTTTTATTTTTTTTATTTTTTTTATTTTTACTCTAGTTCAAGGATATACAGTAACAAGACATCTAAATACAATGGATCGGGTTGGGTTGGTAGACATGGCAGAGTAGGTTGTGAAAATAGCACGAACTAATCAGTTTTCGGACTGGTAATTAAAAAAAGATAGTGTTTATAAAGTCATTGAAAAATAGTCACTATTTTGCTGAAACACGGAAAATTCCAGTATAATAAGGTGGATTATGGAGTTCCTGCATTCCCGTATATTATGTTGGAACTCTAGCACATTATGAAATTCCAGCACATTATGCTGGAAGCTCATGATATGCAAAAAATTTGAAATTCTCCAACATATTTTGCTGGAATATTTCCGAATTTTTAAGGATGTTTTTGTTCAGATTTTATCGTTACATGAAAAAGTGGCTAAATTTCGATTACTTTTGAAATTGTAGCTTTTTTTTAATTACCAGTTATAAATTTCGTTATTTTTTATTTCGCTTCTTTATTGTCCTTTTTTTTTTTTGTATTTTCTTTTACACTTTTTTTTTCCAATTTCGGTTAAAGTCTATGTCACTCGGATATTCAAAAAGTGCCATGTGTTGAACTCTCTAAATATACAGTATGATTGGTGATTCGATACAGATATTATTACATGACATTCTTGAAGAATCGAAACAACATATATTAAAATTGTAATTTGATGATTAGTGATTATAAATTTAAGAAAAGAAACAAGACATTAAATGGTAAGCATAGTTGTTCATGCTTTTCGAGTTGATGCATTTAGATAGATGTTTCATGTTTGGTTCTATAAAACACAAAGCAAGATAAAGAAAAATGGAGAAGACAAACTTATGTCTATTGTTCTCCTCTTTTCTCCTTAAGAAGTAAAAGTTCATCATCTGTTTTCATTTCCTTAAATTGTCACACAGGCAAACTCCATCATTTTTCTTTTGACAACAAAATACTATTATGTCACTTTGCTCAACTTATCATTTTATCCACGTTTTCTACCCAAAAAAAATAGACTAATGTGCAAATTAAGTAGGTGCATATTGACTTTCTACCAGTTTAGTGGAGCAAATATGTTATACCTAAAATACCCTTTACCTAACAATAGTCCACTTGTTCCCATTCTCTCCTTCCTCCCTCCAACTACCTTCCCACACCCAAAAAACCTCTTTATAAAACCCCATTCCATCTCTCCTTCTTCTTCAGGTACCCTTCATCTTCCTCAATTTCAGGTACCCAAAAAAACAAGAAAATCACATACCCAAAAACACTAACATTTCTCATAAAAGTATTAAATTCAATGGCTAGTAGCACTACCAACTCCCTTCTTCCCAACAAATCTCAATTGGTTCAAAACCATTCCCTTTTACCTTCTCCATTAAAGAATGCATCTTTCACCACCAACTCAACCAAAGCCGTTAGATTTGTTCAACCAATCTCAGCCGTTCATTCCGCTGACTCTTCCAAGAACCCCATTGTCTCCGACAAGCCCTCCTCCAAGCCTTCACCGCCGGCGGCCACTGTTACGGCGGCGGCTACGACGGTGACAAAAACAGAATGGACAGTGGATAGCTGGAAATCCAAAAAGGCTCTTCAGTTACCCGAATACCCAAATCAAGAGGAGCTTCAATCTGTTCTCAAGACGATTGAAGAGTTCCCTCCTATCGTGTTTGCTGGTGAAGCGAGGAGTCTTGAAGAACGGCTCGGTGAGGCTGCTATGGGCAGGGCGTTCTTGTTACAAGGAGGTGATTGTGCTGAGAGTTTTAAGGAATTTAATGCCAATAATATTAGGGATACTTTTAGAATCCTTCTTCAAATGGGTGCTGTTCTCATGTTTGGTGGTCAGATGCCTGTTATCAAGGTTCCTTCTCTTTACCTTTTTTGGCTTGTCTTTTGTTTCAAGTTTATGTTTCCCATATAACGTACATGGATGTGATTCCTTATTTAAATCTTCATTTAATGGTGTCTTTCAATAAAATTCTTTTATGTTTGTTTGTTTGTTGAATTTTGTTATTTTGCTTCATCTTGTCCCTATTCCTGAAAAGTTTTAACTTTTATATGCTTTTTAGGCTATTAGATTGCTTTAAAAATTAAGTGTGGATTGGTAACATGAATAAATATGGTAAATACCATTTAATAATGGGAGAAGTTTTTAAGCTGTTGATGTATCTAAGTTAAATTTTGCTGGAAATGAAATCTTACTTGATTCTTGGAATTGACTGTTATTAGCATACTCTGTTTATAGCATTAGGTTATTTTATATGTCCATTTCTTTTGAAGTGATCCATGTTCAAATTTATGCCTGTATAAAGGAAGATCCAATTTTGTATAGGTTGGAAGAATGGCTGGGCAATTTGCAAAGCCAAGATCAGATAATTTTGAGGAGAAGAATGGAGTGAAGCTGCCAAGTTACCGGGGAGACAACGTGAACGGAGATGCATTTGATGCCAAGTCAAGAACTCCTGACCCTCAGAGGTTGATCAGGGCGTATTGTCAATCTGCAGCTACTTTGAATCTATTGAGAGCTTTTGCTACAGGAGGATATGCTGCCATGCAGAGGATCAACCAATGGAACTTGGATTTCACAGAGCACAGTGAGCAGGGTGATAGGTATGTTCTATCTTGTATTTTTGCACTCTAATTGTATTTGTCCTTCCTTCTGATCCATTTTATGTGGCATTATTTCCTTATTAGTCCAGTTCCAAAAGTAATGGCACATTCTATATATTTGGAAACAATTTAACTTTAAATATCATAATATGCTTTTATAGTCTCATAAATCTCATGGCATGTTCAAGGTTACACGTTCTAAAAGTCTTTTCTTTTTTAATCTTTGTGCCAAAATTGAAGGGGCTTGAGTATCATTTTGTCTTACTGGGAATATTAGCTGGAAACTGTTGCCATGCTATCACTGTCAAGTACATTTGTGATGGTATCTCGGAACTTTTCCTTTTGTAACTTCACCTATCACTTACAATATACTAGCATAAGTGCAAAGCATAAATCCAAATAATTATGAGACTTATGTTGCATCCTTATTATGAGACAAATAATTTGTAGATTTTAAAGAGCTTATTACGTTACATCATTAACACGAGGCATGCGTCTGGGCTTCTCATGGTAGGTATCGTGAACTAGCTAATAGAGTGGATGAGGCCCTTGGTTTCATGGCTGCTGCTGGACTTACAGTGGATCATCCTATTATGAAAACCACAGAGTTCTGGACTTCTCATGAGTGCTTACTTTTGCCCTATGAGCAGTCACTAACACGATTGGATTCGACTTCTGGTCTTTACTATGATTGCTCTGCCCATTTTCTTTGGGTTGGAGAGAGAACTAGGCAGTTGGATGGTGCCCATGTTGAGTTCTTGAGAGGAGTTGCCAACCCCCTTGGTATTAAGGTGATCACAGTGCTGTATTATCAACTTATTGTGATTGTTCTTTTTGTGAATGTAAAATTAGGGTGCTAACGCAACTTTGTGCTACAGGTGAGTGACAAGATGGATCCAAGTGCATTGGTCAAGCTCATTGAGATTTTGAACCCTGAAAACAAAGCTGGGAGGATTACAATAATTACCAGAATGGGAGCAGAGAACATGAGGGTTAAGCTTCCTCATCTTATCAGGGCAGTCCGAAGAGCAGGGCAAATCGTCACTTGGGTATCTGATCCTATGCATGGGAATACCATCAAAGCTCCTTGCGGCCTAAAAACTCGACCTTTCGATTCCATCAGGGTAAGTTATCGTGCCAGGTTCAGAAATCCTTAATTCCTCATATCCTAACATTGAATTCACAAAATTCGTAAAATATCTCTTAGAGTAATTGCATAGTTCATCTACATGATCAGTAATTACATCCTATAAAGCGGTGCCCCCTCATAATTCATTGAAAGTCACACAGAAAATCAGAATTCAAGTTATAATAAGTTAGATTCTTTATATCTGGGGAGTTGCTAAATGGGTCCATTCTCATCATTTTTTGATAAGCTGAATGATACGAGTCTTCCGACCATAGATGGTGAGACAATGGGTAGTTCACAGAAAGAATAGTAGTTATTTCTTGGCAAGACTAGGACCAAGAAAATGGAAGTGACCACCAAAAAACTAGTAGTCATTTAATACAGAGTCTTTTCAACTGAATTCTCCACCATAGATGATGAGAGAACATGGGTAATTCACTGGAAGAATAGTAGGTATTTCTTGGCAAGACCAGGACCAAGAAAGTGAGCGTGCTGATTAGATTGGTAGGAGAGAGGAGTAACGTGGAGCTTGTAAAGCCTTTTCTTCAGTGAATCAGTCAACAGAAAATATGTTTTTTATATTGATGGTGGGTTTAGATAGTGTGTGCAACTACTTTAGTAGGTTTGGTTGTTGTATGTCTCTTTCAATGTGTTTGATTATCCGGACCAAGATGTCTGGTGGCTTTTTTCTTTTATATGTTACATCATTAACACGAAGCACACGTCTCACATGACTCTGTTGTAACAGGCTGAAGTAAGAGCATTCTTTGATGTTCATGAGCAAGAAGGAAGCCACCCAGGAGGAGTACACCTGGAGATGACAGGCCAAAACGTCACAGAGTGCATCGGTGGATCACGAACTGTGACCTTTGATGATCTGAGCTCACGTTACCACACCCACTGTGATCCTAGGCTCAATGCATCTCAATCCCTTGAGCTCGCCTTCATTATTGCAGAACGCCTAAGAAAGAGGAGGCTTGGATCACAAAGTGTATTAGGTCAATAGATATTTGGAAAGGTCCAAAATGCTGCTTTTCTTGATTTATTTACTTGTTCGCCTGACTTATGAATGATTGTATCAATGTTTACATTTTTTTTAAAAAACCGTTTTGAAGGATATTGTATGTTGCCCTATGTGCATACTAGAAGAGTGCTATGTTGTATGAGAGTTTGGTGACTAAGGAATAAAGCAAGGAAGTTACTTTGTCGTATGATATCTCTGTTTAACTTATTTATTTGACATTTAGATGAGAACTGAGTGTATACCGAAGCGCCTCTGCTGCATACTGTACTTTTTCCAAGTTTCTTAATACTATTTTTTGTTAGTTGGGGGTGGGTTTGGTTGTTGGGATTGGTAGATGTGGATCAAATCAAGACGTTGCGTTATGAGTATATTCTCAAGGGACTCGGCCACCTACCACTTAATCAAACATGTTTTATTATTAAAATCTATCTTCTAAGTGAAATTGTAGATTCTTTCCACATACTCATCACCTAGTTCTTCTTCAGTCGTTTACTACTCTCTCCGTTCACTTTCAATTATATATTATCCTAAAAATTTATTTTCACTTTTACTTATCAATTTTAATAAATCAAGAGAAGATCATATTTTGTTTCTTGTTTTACGCTAATTATTAATTACTCATTTTAAAAATAATTTTTTATGACTTTTCAAAATACTAGTATTATTTATTACGGGTACTATGGTGATAGATGCATTTCATCTACGTGAACAAGTAAAATTGAATGGAGAGAGTAAAAGGTTTTCTCTGAGCTGTTAGACACATGTAAGCTGGTGTACTTTTTCGATGTTTATTATAGTATGCTATTAATTCATACACACTATTTTTGTTCTTCAATGGAAATTTATGACATCCTTTCGTGTCTAATATTAAAGTGAAGAGGTTGATAACAACTTCGGGGCCAAGTTTTCATGGGTTTTAATAGGGGGTATTTGCAGACGTATCTTATATTTGTACTACCTTTTAATCTGTAGTCTATTTTTTTAAAATTATTGATTTGGTAGCCAGCTGACAAAAAATCCGTAATAATATGACAATTATACCCCTGACAAAAGATATAAAACCTGCATCACGCATTAATCACGTGATCTGCAACCTCATTCATGAAAAAAGATCTCTCCCTCTCCTCTCAGCAGCTTTATCAAAAAACCAGAAACTTGAACCAGATTCATCTTCATAATCACACTTGCATGAAGTTGTTTGACGGATATAGCTTGAAAGTGTTCACTTTGAAGTCTGAAGTTTTAATCAAATACAAGCTAAAATTTCATGCCAATGTAGCATGAAGTTGTTTCACTGAAGCTAAAACTTCATGCTAATATAACATGAAGTTGTTGTCACGACCCAAAATCCACTATAGGTCGTGATGGCGCCTAACGCCGCCGTCAGGCAAGCCAACATTGATTTATCAATTTATTTACTCATTTTATTACTTTCGAAATCATAATCTCCATTAATTTAATGGTATAAAATAGAATTTTCAGGGTAAAATGATAATACATACGCAATTACACTAACGAACAACCCGTAGGAACCCCCAAAACCCAGTGTCACAAGTGCATGAGCATTTTCTAAGGAGTACAACAATAATACAACATATGTCCAGAATGTAAGTGAGACAAGATAAAATAAATAGTACAATGAGGACTCGGTGGACTGCAAAGCATAGCCTGAATTGCAGCTCTCATAAAGTCTCCTCAACAGATGCGCCTACGCGCCAAGATGATCACCAAATGACCTGTTAGATCCTGCACATTTAGTGTAGAAGTGCAGCATGAGTACGTAAATCAACGCGTACCCAGTAAGTATCCAGCCTAACCCCGAAGAAGTAGTGACGAGAGGTCGACATCGACACTTACTAGAGGTCCAAATAAATAAATGATAATTCATGACAGGTATGAAGTGCACAACAATAGTGGAATAAATCTGTAATTTCATAATTTTTTCTATTCATTTCTTTTAAAGCACAAATTTCTAAATCCCGTATTCTACATTAACAACTCATAAATGTCAAGTGCCAATATCAAATAAATAGGGAATACCATATAAAATGCCGAGCATCAGTGGAAAGATTAGCTCGTGAATATTCGGACTATTAGTGATATAACCCACGATTCTGCCGAGGTTGTTCGGCCCGATCCAGAATAATGTTTACACTGCCGAGGGTCGTACGACACGAACCATAGATGCATCTATACACTGTCGAGGCGTTCGGTCTGCCCCACAAGAAAGGAAGGAAGTTACCGACTTACGAGATACGTGCTTACAATACAGTATATGAGCACGAAATAAATATAATCTTTACCGTTTCTCAACTAACTCGCCCACAACTCAAATTGATAAGGCTCAGCCTAGTATACATATATTTATCTTTAAATCAATTTCAGTTATAACTTTAATTAATTTAGCCAGTAGAACGAGTTCAAATTATTCAATTATTAAATGATAAAGTCCTAAGTCTACCCGGACATAAACATGCTTTAGCTACGTACGAACTCTGTCACCTCGTGTATACGTAGCACCCACAACTAGTTGCACATAACAATAAATATCACCTAGGGGGTAGTTTTCCCTTCACAGAATTAGACAGGAGACTTACCTCGCTCCGAAGTTCAATAATCGGCTCCAACGCCACTCTAACACCTCAAATCGATGTCAAACAATGTGCAAACCAATAAAAATATACTCTAATTCTCATAATAAATCAATTCATAACAATTCCCAACTCCGATGGAAAAGTCAATAAAGTCAACCCTCGGGCCCACATGCCTGGATCCCGAATTTTTTTGAAGATAAACTTTACCTATAACGTTATGAACTCAAATATATGATTTATTCCAAAACTCATGTCCAATTTCGTGGTCAAACTCCAAGAATATCAATTTCTAGGTTTTTCTTCAAAATCCCAAACTTCTACTAATTTTCTTGTTTAAATCCTTATATAACACATGTATTTAACTCACAAATGTGAAGAAATCACTTACCTAGTGATGGGTGACGAAGAAACTCCTTCAAAATCGCCCCAAGCTCGGCTCCCATGGAAGATTTGAGATAATATGAGCCAAAACCCGTTTTTGCAAACTTATACAGTGCCCAGGCAACCCTTCTTCGTGATCGCGAAAAAAGCCTCGCGATCGCGAAGGCCAAAAATACTACTGCCCCAAAACCTGCTTCGTGTTCGTGTCCATAACATCGCGTTTGCGATGAATCACTGCCCCAACCCCATCCGTTCGCGATTCCTTGGTCGCGTTCGCGTAGGCCAAAGGCCTTCTGCCCCGTTTCCTCCATTTCCTCTTCGCGTTCACAGTTGGGCCTCCGCGTTCGGGAAGCACTACCAGGCCTACCTACGCGTTCGCAGGCCCCTCCTCGCGTTCGCATAGGGCAATCAGCTACCCCCTCCAATTTCCTTCTCCGCGATCGCAAAACACACCAGTACACCAGCAGGAACAAAACTGGGAAAAATGGTCTGAAACCACTCCGAATCACACCCGAGGCCCCCGGGACCTCGTCCAATCACACCAACTAGTCCCAAAACACGAAGTGAACCTGCTCGAGGCCTCAAATCACCCCAAACAACATCAAAACTATGAATCGACGATCGAAATCATTCTTTAAGCTTTCAAACTTCCAAACTTCGACGAACGCGTCCGAATCCTATCAAAACATTTTAGAATGACGCCAAACTTTGCGCACAAGTCAGAAATCACGATACGAACCTATTCTAAGGCTCGAAAGCTCAAATAGACATCGATAACACCAAATTCCACCTCAACCAAACTTAAGAAATTCTAAAACTTTCAAAATCCTAACTTTCCACAATAAGCAGTGAAATGCTTCCGGACCACCCGATACTCAACCCGAACATACGTCCAAGTCCGAAATCATCATACCAACATATTGGAACCTTCAAATCCCGATTTTGAGGTCGTTTATTCAAAATTCACACCTTAGTCAATTCTTCCAACTTAAAGCTTTCCGAAATTAGGATTTTCCATCTGAAGCAACTCTGAACTTCCCGAAATTTGATTTCGACCACACATACAAGTCACAATACCTAAAGTGAAGCTACTCAAGGCCTCAAACTGCCGAACGATGCGCTAGATCTCAATGCGATCGATCGGGTCGTTACATTCTCCCCTACTTAATCATACGTTCGTCCTCGAACGTGCCAAGAACCGTTCAGGAGTTGTCCAAAATCATTGTTCAACACCTTGTGCACCTACCCGTGCCACCACAACCCAGTTGAGCATATTAGCTCGAGCCAGACTGAAGATCTTCCCTATATCCTTAGCTAACAAGCCTTAGAACCAAATTCCAACATCTGGAATCCTCCACGAGACCCGATTCCAACATACAACACTGCATCAATCACCGGACACCATACCCAACATGACCCTGATCCTCCGCTAGAATCACACCATGCACCACATAAGTCGGTTGCCTATAATAACATCCTCTGACCAGAATAGCTGGAATTTCACGAATCTGATGCCCAGAGTACACCTCATAATGCATATAAGCCCTGTTCCAACTATCGCAATACTGTCACGACGGAAAGGATGTGTAGAAACTCATAACCACCTGCTGAATCAATAAATCATGGAGTCTCTCCTCCTGACAAGGACCATTACCTCAGTCTGAACTGAATAATCATATTTGCTCTTTAATATACCTTATATAAATCTGATTGCACTGATTTCAGGTCCAATAATCTCGTCTCGCCCAGTACAAGCTGCTCAGGAAATAAACCATCTCAAACATTGCCTAGGATTTCATATGACGCCATCAATGAGCCAATAAGCTACAGCTAGAATAGGACACATAAGGAAGAACAAACTCTAGAAAAGAACTACCCAGCCCACGTAATGAATAAAATGACCGAAAAGATGCTATGAAACTTTCTAAGAGAGTGAGAAACAAAATACACAAGGATAGATATAGGGAACTGTACTCATCATCTTGCTGTTGCGGCGTACAGCCCGATCCCTACATGATACTGTTGCGGCGTGCAACCTGATCTAAAAAACATACCCGTGGCGGTGTGCCACCCGATCCACACATAACAATAAATAAGAAAATTCCCATCCAACCCTATTTATTATACCTATGAAATACCGAATATCGATCACAAGCACGCTAAGTGCAAAACATAACCCTGGGGAGACGGATAGCGCCATACGCTACAAAACCCA